TAGGCTCACCAGAAGAAAAGAACCACACAAATAAACTTTATTTGTTTTGGCAAACATAAAATAGAGAAAGAAGAACTCAAACAATAGACAAACAAAATAACTCCTACTATCAGAAAACTCATGCAGTTTTGGCATGCACAAGGAAAGGTCATGAAATGGTAGACAAAACTAAAGCAGTGAGACTCCCTTAACCTGGAATTCTGCCAGGCCTGATGAGCACTCCCTCGCCGGAACCATGCCATTGTACCTACAACACAATGGGTTACAGAGTTTCCTGTGGATAATTTCATTCTAAGGGAATTGTTTGCATATGTTAAATGATCTTCGAGCCTTTATAGTTCTAAATAATAAATTTAACCCTATATAATCATGATGCTTTACAAATTTAATGTTCCTCATCGCTTGCTGTCATTTCTTAGCCTTAGAGAATCGGAGGCAACGGTACTTTTCTCCACTGACGGTGATCTCAAGAGCACCATCTTGGTTATCTTGATTTGATGCAGTGCCCGTCAGAACACTCTTTTCCTTCTCTAGATTTTCTCTCTCCATCTTCAGCCGAGCCTCCTGCCGTGCAATCTCTGCCTGCAAAAGAAAGATCCAAAAGGAACATGAAGTCTTTGAGTTGAGAAACGCAATCAGTATACAAGCATTGGTTATAGATTTCAAGCAGTAATCTGAAAGGAAATATAATATGCCATGATACAAATAGTAACAGAAGTTTCACCTGACTGTATACATCCAACATGCTGAGAATTCTTTTCTTAAGCAATGTAAATCATATTGAGACACTGGAACTAGGGCATGTTCAGCAACAAAAGAAAAAAGAAAAAAAGAAAAGTTTATCTTATTTTATTCTCAACTTTCAGAAAGTTCCGGTGATTGAAACAGAAAATGTAACAATGCAAAATATGATTTATTTTAAAGGAACCTTTTTGACAAAGTTTACCACAAGAACAGAATTACTATAGTGAAAAATGCCACCACTGCAATAAGGGTAATGTCCCAACCGCCAGGATCTGCCATATAAATATTTTCCCATCATTAACTTTACTTAGGGTAATATCATTGTTTAAACTATAAGCTGTCATTTTTAATTGTTTCTTTAGAATTTTCTCGTGTTTCCTTATATATCTTCTCACATCACTTACCACTATAGAAAGAAATAGTGGTATTTGGATTCGAAAAAGATACTAAGCAGGTCTATTCTTGGCTGAGGTTTCCAGATTAAACAACTCAGAATTTCATAATAATGAATACAGTGGAACAACTGAACTGTTCAAAATGTTACAGTTAAAAATTGACCATTCAACTCTGATCTCAATTCCCTAAACAAACCATAAGCTACAAGACAGGCTTTGAAACTAGAACTCCTAAAATGGACTTCATGAAATAAATAAGTACCACAAAACTAGAAAAGATTCATGTAATTCTCCTCATCCAAATGTTATCCTCATGTTTCACGTCAACAACAGAACCTCTAAACATTGGTAACAGTTGCTTCTTACCTAATGGATAATAGCTAATCAGCTGAATAAATACTTGGGTTCAAATTCACTCCTGATACACTGTCAACTAGAGAGTAAAGGTCATGTTGTCATTGGAAACCAGGAGTGTGTATTCAGTACTTAAACCGGATCTAAAATACTTCCATACAGCAGGATCTAAAATAGAAGCTTCCTAACACAATGTCAAGCGGTGAGTTAAAGGTTATGTTGTCACAAGAAACCAGGAACATACATTCAGTACCTAAACCAGACATATAATAAGCAAGTCTACACATGATTGATCTAGAATATTATCTTTTTCTCGAACCAGGCAAATAAACTTAAACCACCTCTTCAATTTCCTAATGTCTGATATCCCCATGAATTTTAAAGATTCCTACCTCACAGTTGCCAAAAGTTCAGAACAATTCAGCTTCAACAGATGGCATATTATTGTCAGTTCTTTCTACAGGAAATTAGGAACATTATGGTCATGTAAATTGTAGAAGCAATCTCTGCCTCATCACAAGAAAATATGTTAAGTGGCATCTAACTACATTTCCTGTGGGGTGTCGCAAGAGCCTGAGAACATTAACATAGTTGTAGTATCCAAAACAGAAAAAAAACAAAATTCCATTCAAGCTAATCTCTGCTTATATTGACTGGCAGATAAAGCACCAATGCCAAATTTCAACAAGTGACAATTTTCTAATTTTAACAGAGCCCGGAGAAGCCCAATCTAAATTTTCTAAAGCATACGATTTGGTGAACGCAGAAAAGATGTGTATCATCTATTTTATACAAATCAATCCCACGATGCATGTCAGTAGCATTCATATTGAATAGAACTAGATGTAATCGCTAACATATTTCTGGGATGGTCCTATTTTTGTTGATCTAACATATCCTTGATATCAAAAAACCTTCCAGATGAGCTTTGCTGTTGCAAAATCATTTGCAAGGCCTTTTTGGCCCAAATGGATATTCTTTTCCAATTTCCATGCATGTCACTGAGAACACCTAATAACTCCTATGCCAAGGATATGTTGAAACCACTCAAGAAAAACAAACAGAAAAATTTGAATGAAAGCACAGCATTTCAAAGGGAGTAAATGTGGAATTCGGTAATATAAGGTCCTCAGAGAAAGTTTGAGGATACAGAAATAGCACTCATATACAAGTAATAAGGTTCTGTTTCTAACTTCTAGGACAGTTACAGTCCAGAATAATCCATGATTAGAAAGGAAGAAAAACAAATCTAGAAAGGAAGAAAAACAAATCTAAAGCATGACACAGCAGTGCCTCTTGCATCAGCAGAGAAAAGTGATTTTTAAAAAAGATAGAAAAAAAGGTCTATGTACACAATTATCTGAGGTAAGCTAGATGGCTTGCTTCCTACCAAAAAGCTGTATTAACAGAAAAATATTTCCGGCCATTGACTTATGATCACACTAACACAATGTTTCGAGGAGATTAAGTACAGATGTGTTTAGTGATAACTATGAAAGCCAAAAAAAAAAAGGCCGTTTGCATTGCTTCACTTAAATAATGCTTGACAACCCGTGTGTTGCGATGAAGCAACTTTCTTATGGCATCAGGACTCACCGTCGATCTGTAATGAGCAATATCTTAAGAAATTAAAGGGTCATCACATCTTATATATACTTAACCACCCCTCATCAAGTGTTCATTCATCAACCGCTGGCATGACAAATTCTAGAACCACATTGCGCGAGCATCTTTATTGTAGCTTAGAACAACTAACAAAGAACAAGAAAGAAAGTCACTTGCAGTGAGCTTGACACTGAATCTTAGGTTTCCCAGAAGATATTACTTCAATCTTCATCCCATCCTCCATACCATGCGATTCACGTTTTGCTGAAACTGGCGAGTCCGTAATATACGAATCCAGTTGGATATGTGCAATAATTAACACATATCGATGTCTCATATGAAGCATCAACCCTTAGATGCGGCCCAATCCACTACGATGGTTCTCTCAAACCAAGAAAACTGTGGATTCACGCATCCCCAGTTCAAGCTAATGTTAAAGAAGTCAAAAAGTATTGGAATGATGAGAGAAAGGAAGAAGATTCTCAAAGAGAGGGGAATCGGCGGAAGAATAAAAATACCTCTCGGCGAGAGAGCTCGGCCTTCCAGGCGGCCTCCCTCTCGGCGACCTCTCGCTCCCTCTCCTGGATGTAGCTCTGCATCTCCCTCTCCTTCATGATGCGGTCCTGTATGTCCGCATCCAGCGCCTCCTGCAGCTCCCTCACGAACTTCTCCACCACCGCCTTTATCCGCAGCGACATCTTAATCTCCTCCCCCGATGATCACACGACCGAAGCGGAGCTCTCCTACAGTAGAGCGCCGCCGGATACACGGTTTCTCGGGCAGGCAATCGAGGGAAATCGCCAGTGATTACTTTTAGGGTTTTGAGACCGATTAGACAGCGCGCAAGTGGAGTCCGCGAGCTGTTACGAAGAACAAACCATTTGTTTTGGCCGGAAAAGGTTTTCTGCGTTACGATGCTTTATTTTTTGGTTTTTTTTTGTGATAGTAATTAAATGGGTTTTCATGTTATGAGTGGGGATTTCTTTTTAATTTTATATCGATGAAAAATTGCAAATAATATTCTAAAAGAGAATCATTGATGTTATGGGACCGTAGCAGAAGTCATAGGGAATCATTGATGATGAGGGCAGAGAATATAATAAATAATATGTGAAGATTGTCGACACGTTGGAAGTTGCGTTGCCTTTTACTTACGTCCTCCAACGATTAGTGGATTGGAAGTGGATGAATCGGGGGAGGGAGTGCCAAAGTGGCATCTCGTGAGGAGACAGTCGTATGGCAACGACATCTCGAGCGACCACTAACTACGACGCTTACCTCATGTTTTATGTGGTAGACGTTCGTTCGTCGGGAACCGCCGGAAATACAACACAGGACGATGATACATGAAATTGAACGAAGATTAAAGGAATAAACCACGTTGATAAAGATTGACACAGTTCATTTTTGGGAAAAAAACAATATTTATATTTTAAGTATTTTTTAATCGATACCTCTTAAACAGTAGGCTTTATTTTAAAAAATACTCAAATTATTCTTCAAATTTTTTTTTATCATCATAATAAAAAAAATTATAAAATTTTATTTAAAAATATTATAAATAAGTTAAATAAAATTAAAATATATATTATAAATTATTTTATATAATATCATGCTCAAATTATAATAGTTTAGAAACAATCTTACCCGGATAAAATTAAAATTTTAATTTATTATAATATTTTGATCATCATAATAAAAACATTATAAAACCTATTTGAAAACATTATAGATGATCCAAATAAACTCTTAACCCGTCAACAAAAAAGGAGATTACTTTTATAGTCTACATTCCTCAAATCCGGATGATTATAAAAAAAATATTTAATATTTTGATTAAGATATATCGAACATTTTGAATGGTAAAAATGTAATGTATCTTTACAGAGCTAACTGAGTAATGGACCTCCTTGTAATTATATTCTGATTGAATTGCCTAATCCATTTCTCCAAATCCAACTATTATTGGGCGTTGCTTACTGGCCAAAAGCTCGAGCAAGCAATTGCAAGTTACTGCTCGGCCTTCGAAAACCCCTCCATCTCTTATCTCTCGCTCCTCGTCTGCATCAAACAGTTGCCTTGTGGCCAATGATTGACTTAACGAAGCCTCACACTCTGGTACCAGGTATCTGTTTACTAGCACGGTGGTGATCGGCCTTGTTCATGTAGACGCGCCCCTTTGGCTCCATCATGGCGTCGGCGGGCGCCCCTCCCTTGCCCTGCTGCAGCACGAGCACCGAAGCCGTCGTCCCGAAGTCTGGCGATGCCAACAGGTCCCCGATTGGCCCGAGCTCAGGGCACTCGCTCCAGTCCGTCAGCCCCGCCGTGAGAGGCGACTCCTTCCCGTGTCCCCTCCCCACCACGTACATGTCTTGTATCCCATCCACCCCTCTTATCACCGCCACCGTTTCCTCCGCGTTGCTCACCACTCGCTCCTCGTACTCCGCTATCCCTCCTCCCCACCTTTCCCGGAACTCCCCCACGCACTCCTCGTCGATCCTCCAATCCCTCTCCTCGTCCTCCCCCGCCACCGTCACCACCCTTTCTGTCTTGGGCGATCCACTCTGCGAGTGGGCCCTGGCCGCGTGCACGAAGCGCAGCACGGTCACGTTGATGGCGGGGTGCCCGGCCATGCGCGACGCTAGCGCCAGTGCCTCCCGGTCGTCCGGCCCACCGAAGAAGAACAGTGTGATGCGACGCGTGGCGCGATGGCTTCCCAGGCCGCGGTCGATGAGGATGCCGACGGAGCATGGCGCAGCCGAGAGGACACTCTGGTTGATGGCTCGGCAGGCCGGGTGATTAGGGCGCATGCCGCCGTCGACGGTGTGGTGCTTGTGGAAAGGCAGGAGAATGAGAGCGGCGTGTCGGTCCTCGGCCGCGGAGATGACGTCCTCGTGCATGGTGGCGTAAGGGGAGATGGCAGTGAGGAACTGGATGGACACGCCGCCTGCGTACTGGTCGTAGGACTCGAAGGCGTGGAAGATGTGATCGGACTGGGCCTGTATGCGGCCGTGGCCGTGGCCGTGGGCGTGCTGGTTACCGCTGGGAGAGGCGTCGGCCGGGGTGGCGTTGAGGAGTATAGCGGAGGTCCTTCCTGTGAGCTCAATGAGGTGGAGGGCGTAGACGAATATAGGGGAGCGCTTCGTGGGGTGCGATATGTCGAGGAGAGCGATGAGACCGGGTACCTGCCGGGGGACATGGACGCAGGTGAGCAGGCGAAGCTCCGAGTCCGGGTTGGGCCACCAGATGGTGCGACGCTTATAGAACACCAGGCGCTTCGATGGCCTCACCACGGCTTTGAGGAGCGGGCTCACCAGAGTTGTCACCACCACCGACATGACGACCAGGATTGTGAATGATTGATTGCCCAGGATCTGCAATTCCATCGGATGCAACCAGAGTCATGTTATGTACAGCATGCATGCCCAAATCATGCAATCCAAAGATCACACCAAATGAATACAAACAGAACGAGAGTTCGGAATCAATTACCATCTTACTTCTGCCGATGTTGAGGATAATCACGTCGACAAGACCTTTGGTATTCATGAGGATACCCAACGACATTCCTTCGTGGAGAGGCATCCTATACGTGGCAGCCAGAAACGCACCGCTGGCCACCTTCGACGCGGCGCCGGCCAACACCACTATTATCAGCAAGACGGTCGACCCTGGGTCCTTGATGCTGTAGACATCCGTCCTCAGCCCGCTGATCACGAAGAAAAGTGGCATCAGTATGCCGGCCACGAAATCCTCCACCTTCTCAATGAGCGCCTCCCCCAGCGGTCCATTGGGCACCGACAACCCGAACACGAAAGCCCCGAAGATGGCGTGCGTCCCCAGGGCGTCGGCGATGAAAGCCCACACCATCACCCCCACGAGGAGCACACACGCGTAAATTTCGTCCAGATCCTCGCCTTCCGGCGTCCGCCGTTGCACCCAGAGCACACCAGGCTTCAACACCGCATAGCTGAAGAGCAAGAGCGTTATCCCGGACAGCACCGTCCACAGCGACGACAGCAAGTCTCCGTCGCTCTGCGCCAGCCCTATGGAGAAGGCCAGCAAGATCCACGCACAAATGTCGCTGAGCATGGCCGACGACAGTGCGAGCCGCCCGATCTCAGAGCCGACCAGCTTCTGCTCGGCTAGGACGCGGGCGAGGACGGAGAACGAGTTGATGGAGAGGGTGAACCCGAGGAAGGTGATGAAGGCGGCCTCGTTCGTGGCCTCTTGGAGGCGACGGTGGATGAAGATGCCCGAGAGCGAGCCGATGGCGAACGAGGGCACCATGCAACCGGCAGCGAAGGCCAAGGCCTTGGCACCCTTGCGCTTGATCACGTTCTTCTCGACCTCCACCCCGACAGTGAAGATGAAGTAGACGAGTCCGAGGTGAGACATGGTGTCGAGGATGATTAAGCTCCTCAGAGGGAAGATCATGACATTGAAATCCGGGATTCTTCCCATGATCGATGGACCCAACACGAACCCACCCTAGCATTCATGTGACGCAACTGACGACGTTAGCTGATGACCGCGGTTAAAGGCGGTCAAATGAGGGGGAGTCGGTTAGAGCGAGCTTACTATGACGTCAGAGATATAGCGATGCTGGCGGAGGGGGCGTAGGAGAAAGGCGGTGATGCGAGTGCTGATGACGACAAGTATTACCTGGAAAAGAAAGAGAGGGATGGAGAAAACCAAGGGGTTCTCTCCCTTCCAAACGCCGAAGCTGCTGGACATCGTCCGGGCGTAGCACACAAGCGGGGCATGCGAGGCGTTGCTTCTCGCGAAAGTGAGGTACTGTATCGGCGAGTTCGTCTCCATCTTTTTGCTTGGCTTGAGGACTGTTGCGAGGCGAATGAGGAGAGAGAGAGAGAGAGAGAGAGAGAGAGAGAGAGAGAGAGAGAGAGAGGGTGAGGAGGATGGAAAGCAGGTGGTGAGGGTTTGGCAGTACCGACGAGCAGTAATGCTATTATTCTTCCTGGTAGACCGTCATCCTCTTGGCGGATCTCGTGTGGTGAGATCAACAAAGATTTGGTCAAATGTCAACACAAAATAAGTTGGGCCTTTGGTCAAATCTACAACCCAAGCGATGCTTTGTTTACCCCTCCAATTCCTACCAACTTGTCAATCCGATACCGTGGACCCACCACAACCACAAGGACCACCGCCTTTGGTCAGCGACAAATGAGGCCATTATTCAAACAGACAATATTTATGGCCTGAAGCAGAAATCTAAAGATAGTCACACACACACACCAAAAGCAATTTATCTTTATATAAAATGTTCATTGTCTCACCAGCACTAAACCATGCAAGGGACAAAATGCAAATGAAGACTAGGCTATTGTTCCAACATGGCCAACAGAAATCATAGCAATCTGATCATAACGTCAGTCTCACCAGCTCAATGGCTTGTTAGTGTAAAACAAGCATCAAAATGCAAAGAATTATAGCACAGATGGGCGAGTAGGATGCAGGGAAATTATGCCAATTAAAAGCCCATATCATAAGCAGCAACAAACAGCAATCAATACCGACAAGTTCACATAGTGATGGCATCTCCAATAATGACTATAATGGCAAGAACAGGACATCTAGTTACTACCAAAAATTTTGTATTAGTTCAGTTGTTTAAGGACATCTATAATGCCACTCCGAAGTTACATGGAATTAATAACTTCCCCTCTCAGGTCAGCAAAATCAATGCCTACAGGTAAAACCAGTAAGTTGAAGAGTCCACAAAAGCTGCGTTTGAAGCTATTACTCCCAAAGCTCTGCAAAATTTCTTATCAGATTGATCAGCTCTTGGTGAACAAGGCTCCAGCCTACCCTTTAAGGAAGTAAATCAAAATAAAACAAATAATGATGGTTATTGAAATAAGCTTTTTACAGCAAATGCGCACCATAACAAAAGCTCTTTACCTGTAATTTTCGTCAGGAGAGCTGGAATGATCAAGTCAAGCCGGTCCCGAACTCAAGCTTTCGGCATACTCCAAGCCTGAACGTCCTTGAGTTTGCTGCTTCTCTCCTGGGTGCAGGAGGGCATGTCCCTGCAACCCCTGTTAGCAAAGGTAATAAAATGGGTGTCTTGAGACATTCAGAAGTGTCACCATGAAGCGGAAAGTTCTTAACCGATGTCTCCTGTATCCGATTTAGAACAATCAGTTCGAGAAATGATCGAAAAAACAACTCCAATAGGTCATCTTCCTCGACAGCATCTTCAGCAACATTGTGTTTGACCTGTTGATTGGAATCACCACAGTCATCGAAGTTGAGCTGCCGCCGAGGAGGTACTTGGGTTCCCTTCAGCATCTTCTTTCTGGGGGCAAAAACCAGTTCTTCTGGCCCAGGGGCAAACGGATCAAAGATGTTTCCCGATGGTGTCCGGCAGTCCAGAATGGAATCAAGCTCCTCGGACTGGTCGGAAGAGGAGGGAGGCTCCGAACTATCTCTATCCGGAGAGGGTGTCGGAGGATAAACTTCCCTTCCACCGATGAGCTCGATGAATGCATCATCTCGAACTTCTGGGTGGTCATTGTCCTCCACGAAGGGAGCCTGCCCGTAGATTGCTTGCCCACAATTCTCCATTCCCTTCAACCTGAGCACAGACTCCATCTTGGTGATCCCCGTCACATCAACTTCCACGGGTGAGGTTTTGGCCACCGGCACGCTTTCGGAGTCCATTTGCACAAGGAACATTACGGAGACCTAATTTTGTCGTACCAGACAATGCCCCAACAATTCCCTTCCTGGTTCCTTCGGGTAGACTGTAAGGGATATAGTCTAATGTTCCAATCTCTTCATCGGAACATCCAGAGATGCACCAGGAAAGTTGGATTTGTTCCACAAACGAAGAAAGGAAACCAGAAACAAGGCTGGCAATAAGGAAAACGCTTCAACTTGATCTGGTAAGCCAAAAAATAGTGCAAAATCATCACAAAAACAAAAGATGTGCGACTAATCAACCTTGAGAAATCAGTTTAACTTAGACTGCTAATCCTTGAAACGATCAAAACCCTAAGAGAAGCTAGCATTTCTGCTGCCCTCCAGAGCTATGGAAGAAAGGATCAATGAAGTAGAGAAGAGAGAGCTTACCTCTGCGACAGACGGCGGGGAAAGAAAGGCCAGCCGATCGAAAAGCAGCAATAAAGAACTGCGCCCGCCCACGGAGCGGGCCCGAAGAAGACGAAAACAAACGAAACGGCGCTCATGAAAGCAACTACGCTACGATTTCCAAATCGGACGGCTCTGCTTGCGGCGCGCTCCCGTGATCCTCGAGAGTGGTCTTCGTCCAGTCGTAACTCGCCACGCAGCGGTATCTGCGTGCAAACTAGGAAGACAATCTGTTTGATGGGGTCCAGTTGTTAAGCCAATATCTAAAGAACACGTGTTCAGGTATGAAGCCTTGGGATAACGATTATGTGATGTATGGACCGACCAGCCAATTACCAGAAGTCCCGCTCTCCATGGTTTCCCAGCGCGGGCCCATGGAAAGGAGCTTGTCCATCTCAATCTCCTAGCTGTGACAAGGCACCAGTCGTCATCACTAAAAGCAGTTAGGCCGTGTGATCTTAACAGGAAAAGGTCGTCAACACTCGTGACTTTACGTCAAATGATTGCTAGCACCGAGTGTATAAGCCATAATGGCTTTATAGCGATGACGTACGATGATGAGGGCAGCAACTAAAAATAGTCTTGGCTATGTACACTAATGCGGGGTTTGAGCCAAACAAAAGGGAGTAAGTAATCTAAATCATGCAGAGTAATCGTCGTTGGATGTGTGGTTGCATAAATTTAAAGCAATCTTAATTATGTAAACTAAATAGTTGGATCCCATTGGGAGAAAAAAAAAAATGTATTAGTGTCAGAAGTGGGATTTAAACCCACGCCCTCTCACGAAGACCAGAACTTGAGTCTGGCGCCTTAGACCACTCGGCCATCCTGACAGGGCTGAGTTAGGTGCTTTCAATTACTATATGAAATATATAATTAACTAAAGAACCATATAAGGCTGTAAAAGCTTAAATCCTCACATTATAAAGTGATGACTCTTAATAAATTCGCACCTAAAGCACACACCATAAGATTCGAATCATACTATTACATGAGTCACCATATCATTACTTTTTATTATATATATATATATTACTTCAGAGTTCTGATTTTATTGAGGTTGGTTATGCCTTTCCACCTCCGGCCCCTCTTTGATAGCACCTAGGTTATTTTTGTCGGATAGATATATTATTACACTAAGATCATTCTAACTTGGTTTAACATCAAAATTGTAGATTTGACATAAAGAACTGTTGTAGAGAGTTAGCATGAGGCATGGGCGTAGAGAGTTGTTGTAGAGAGCTGGCCTATGAGGAGCTAGCATAGAGAGTTCGCATGAGGCGCCAGCGTAGAGAGATGGTGTGGAGAGCTTCTTTCCTATAATAGGAGTGAATTAATCTGAGAGGATATATGCCTTGCTCGTGAGGAGTCATCTCATAGTGCCTCCTCAACCGTGCCAAAGATCCGGCACGATAGGTCTATTAAGACCAAGTTAGCACTAGGGGGGGGGGGGTGTAGTGGTAAATTAGTACTTTTGATTCAAAAATCTCATTCGATAAAACCTCAAGTAGTAATAAGCTAGTAAATTAGTTTGCAATATAAAGTATGAAAGAAATGTAAATCAAGTTTTATAGTAATTCGATCGTCGTGACCTACATCCACTCTCAATTCCTATTCACTTGAAGCCATCGGCTTTCACTACAGATCTTTTTTCAACGGGCGAAGATCAACTACCCTTATAACTTTTTTTCTCCTTTTCATGGGCTCAGGAGAGAACCTTTACACCTATTTCTTTTAGACCTCACTCCTCCCTTACAAACCTTCTAACTCTAGGAGGAAGAGACTTACTAAACTTAGAGAGATTACAACATTTTTTAACTTAGAATTTTTTCCCTTTCTACTCAATTCTTGCATCTCCATGCAGGAATAGTTGGAGTATTTATAGATCCCAAATTGCTTCAAAATGGAGCCAAAAAGGGTCTCATCCTAGGTTTCCCGAGTCTTGGCGATGCAACCGGTTGTGCTGGACAGTAGTACTACTTGCAACACTGACACTAGACGATACTATTGCCAGTTCTCTCTGACATTGGGTAGTACTATCGCGTAGTCTGATAGTACCACCACTTGACACAGTTTGGGATATTATGTCTTGGTAGTACTACCACCCAATCTGGTGGTACCACCACCTAACATAGTCTTGAAGACTATGTTTGGGTGGTACCATCACCCAGTTTGGGCGGTCTCACCACTTGGGCCAACTATGGGTCACTGAATAGGCCTTCCACTTGACCTAAAATAGTCTCAATCTGGGCCCAGTTGGCCCCTAATTGAGTTGGCCTAATTAA